TGAAACTCCAAATTTCCAAAGCATACATTGTACATCACAACCTCTACACTGATGCTGGTATCATGTTAAAGTTTGCAATGTGGCAATATGAATTAAAGCTTTAATCAACTTTAAATTTAGCACAATACAATTTTTCTTGTGCTGTCAGCGTATGCATTGACTCGTGTCTTTGGTAACCGCGTTGTACTTCAACAAAACTGTTGGAAGCCTCCTCACCTGAGACGTGCCCCACACTGGATTGGGAAAACCTGCCCCCTTCCCTACCCTTGGAATCAACTCCAGATATATATCAGTTCGTCAAAAGCTTGCGATGTGTGCTTGTATTTCTCTTGTGTTGATATTGCTGTCACTATTAGTCATAGCTGCTGTCTCTTTTGATCCGGACATTTTACATTTTTTTATCATTAATCAAAATAATGTTCTATATTCAACCAAAGTAAATGTTTGAATAGTGATGAGAATTAAAAAAAATAAAATAAATATATATATATATTCACACAAAATTCAAACTCACACGACCTACAAACCCCTGCATAAAGATAAAAGCTTGCTTATCAGATGAGCTTCCACAGCATCAGCAAGCAACATCCGGAATCGATTGACGGTCCTGCACTTTCTATTGTCTGTGCAATAGTGACAGTAAGAGCACGGAGAGGAGAGGAGTCAGATGTGATACAGTATGACTCAGGGCTATGAAGTCAGAGAGGGTTTATGAGGAGATTAAAGGATTGCCGAACAAGGCAGGAAAAGTGTGGGCAGACAGACGGAGTCTATAAGGATCCCACAACTTGCAGAAGAGTCTACAACGTATAACACAAAAACAGTTACTCATCATCTAATAATGATAGTATACATACTTTATATGGGTGGGATAATGGCTGGATTACAGCTACTGCAGAGAGGTCTGCGTTCTGTGAGGTGACAGCCACACGGTGAACGAGGCTGTCCCGTCAGCACGTCGTGTCAGTTTGCATCTTCAGGGCATCTGCACTGTTACCATTCATCAATAACACAGCATCCTATTCGGGTCCCTCAGTATGACATCAAACCCTTCTAAGACGATTACCATATTTCCTCAGAACAAAAAACATGGATCAGCAATTAAATGTTAAACTTGTTTTAGACTTTACTGTACGTAATAGAAGGTTTATTCTATGGTAATAGAAGTATACTTGAATATGATAAATGTGATATAGTGGGTTAGTTGAGGACGATTTTTTTGTCAAAATATTACTGATCAACAATCACGAACTGGCAGGTTATTGATCTCAAAGCAGATCAGTGTGTCTGAAAGGGACCTTATCTCACCATTTAGTTACAAACATCTAATTTGCTTCCTGTGAAAAACCTTGATCACTTGTCTTTAAGAAAGAGTTGCGTCAATAAAGCTGATTGATTGAGATGGTAATACGGTCTAACTTGCTCGACTGGTCAAAAGATCTCCTGACATACGTTCATGTGCAAGCACACACACTTTTGGATCCCGCTCTGGTTTTAGTGGTGTTAATTAGAGTTGTGCTTAAATTAAGGCAGATGTACTCCAGCCCATTCTGGGGGTCAATTAGCTGTGACAGTAAGAGCCACACAATCCCAACACCCAATTAATGGAAGGATTTACTTATTATCACATGAAATGGCTGTAATTGCATTGTATCATTCAGTGCTATATTTAACTTCTGGATGACAGATCTTACCTTTTCCAATTAGAGAGGATCAGCATGAATCATCTGGTTTGTTACTAACTATGTATTCTTTAGAAAATACTTACTAATACAGACAAACTCGGCATAAATAACTTGTTTTAGTCAAAGAGACATCAGATACTGTTGGGAAATCCAGAATTGACGAGAAGGACCACCCCACAAGCCGGGAAAGACAAATCTTTTCTCTGTCCAGGATAGGTGTAGTGCTCAATAAATCTTGTAGGCTCACGTTAGCTGTGGATGACAGCTCAGGGAGACCAAAACTGTCAGCTTGACGATTCAGCACTTCATCACTGCATACCCCAGGAGATGAATTCATACACTTGGAAGTTAAAGGTGATTTATTCCCTCATTAGAAATAGCCAATTTTGACTTTTGGGATTTGAATTTGTTCATGGCGCCCATGATTCCCAAGTACATGGGTCAGAATAACTTTAAATGGTGTTGCACGGGAAGAATGGCAATAATGTCATAAATAAATGGTAAAAAGATTGAATTCAAACTGACGTCTCACTTTGGCACCCTAACAATATCCATAACTACGTGTAAATCACTCTTAAAAATATATTAATAGGAAAAGAATGTGACACCGTGAAATAAAAACCAGTCCATGTGTTCCTTGTTGCTTTAGCATGAGCACATTGTCTCAAGCACTGTCTGACATTTCTATCAAAGAAGGTAGCAGAGACGTTCCACATCATGATGAAACTTTTTCCATGTTTCACTGTCGGTAAATTCTTCCTTTGCTGTTTGCACTTCCAATTAAATATAATAAATACAGTTGAGGATTGCATTCCCAAAGGAGATATTGGTTTCCTCAGTCCAGACGGAATACTATCCTAGAAGGACGGTGGCTTATTCAAAATTTTTTGGAGCAAGGATTTTTAGATCTAAAAATTTTCCACGTTTTTTTCACTCTTTTTATAGCATTTTTATAGCATGCTGAATCATGAAGAAAATATTTAAAGTATGAGCTTGTCATTTAATTCATTTACTATTTGTTTCTGGTCCGATGGATACCAAAAATGGAACATAGCATTGTAAACATGATTAGAAATATAGCATATGTTCAGATGTATATGGCCAAATGTAGTCCAGAATCTCTCATAAATGTGCAACTGGAAAGATAGTGCTAATAATAGAGGTATCTAATCAATGGAGCCACATAAACAGGCATACTAGAGGTGGTGCTATCTGATTACTCTGCTGTCCAGTCTCCATGTAATACATGACTTATATTGGTGTATAAGTGTTGATGGATGTGTCCTCTGTCCAGTAACTTTGATATGGAATGTAGACACTTTGATATAGTGCCTAAAAGAGGGGCGCAGATGCAGGGACAGGAACCTTCTTCTATTTTTGGAGTCGGTGTTCTCATGGTGTCCCAGGAGAGCAGCCCGCTGTGGGCTCCCCTCCTTTGACAGGAGTGCTACAGAGAAACCTGCAACCTGCAGAAGATGTCAGTCAGGCTGATGTGAAAACACAGGGCATTGTGAGGCTCTCCAGATGCAAAACATTTATCATTTATCAACCAATTAAAAAATTGTAGTTTAATCGTGGCAGCGAGATTGCAAAGGGGCTTCGCAGGGACTCTTTCTGTTCCTCATTTTTAAATGGAGTGACCTCCGCTAATGAACTAAAAGCCTTTGATGAACCACTTTGGAAGTTAAAAAAAAAAAGATAAAGAACTATAGCTATTTCTCCAACATCCAGACCTTTTCTGTTGCTGTGACAACAGCAAGGACAAGAGGAGGCAACCTTGGACAGCAGACAGCTTTGTATCAATATCTACAAACGCTGTAGGCTTTACGGTGCACTGACACTGACACACACATCTCTCCAGTTTTGACAGTGGGGAACTGTTCAACTACCCTGTCCAGACAAGTCATTTTAGTTCTCTGACCACTCACACCACCAGTGCTGCAGAGGAAGGAAAATCTGTCTCTTAGGATTTATAATTAGGATTTATCTTGAGAGCCTGATGCCACAGATGAGTTTATACTATTTGCACAGCCCACTAATATTATAATTGAAACCTGATACTATCAGCAATGCGATTTTTGCTCTGCTTCTATCAATATACATATGGGCCTGAGACATACAGGTGTTTTGGCATGAGATTTAACCAACCTGGAAAAGCTTTCAGGTAGAGAACAGGGCTATTCCATGTTTCACCCTCAACACTAGCCATCCCAGTCTGGTGGTAGGGCGAATGATAGTGAATTTGTTTAGTATGACATCTTGTGGTTGATTCAAGCATTTCAGTACCCCAAAAGAACACTTGGCCTGATATTTTTTAGAGATGTAGTCTGAATAGAGGAAATATGCCTGCCAAAGTCAATCTGGTAAAATCGAAATTAATATTTTTACATGATTATGTAACATTTAAAATGAGTATATGCATGTTTGACACCCCTAAAACAATATATTGATTTACATATATCACATTGTTGTTTCTTTCAATCTCTATTTCTTTTTTTTTTACTTGTCACAAATGCAACAATCAGTTTTATTCAAATAAATCAAGTTTCATTCTAATATCAGGACTAAATCCAGTCCATCCAGCATCAGGATATGTAATTTCAAGTTAGAACATTTTACTGCCATGAAAGTTCAAAGGTCAAACCCCCATGAAATATGGATTGTCTGAGATCCAGATGAGAGAGTTGTATGTGAAACTTTTTTTCTTTTGACAAGGCGCCTATGGAAAAAATGTCTATCAGAAAAGAAACTTTAAAAGACGTACACGTTTTAATAAATACAATGAATGTTTTTAACTGTGTTTCATAATCATTTTTTAAAAATGTTAATTCCAACATTTTTCAGCAACACTTAATTGGTATCCAGTTAAAAAATGTGTTACAGCCTCAAAGAAAATTTAAAACTACAATTACAGTGGGGGAAATAAGTATTTGACCCCTTGCTGGTTTTGCAGGTTTGCCCACTTGCAAAAATGCAACGATCTATAACTTTAATCATATGTACATTCTAACAGTGAAAGACAGAATCACAAAGAATATTCCAGAAAATCACATACTAGGAATTTATAAAAAAAAATAGGCATTATTTGTAAGTGGGCAAACCTGCAATATCAGCAAGGGGTCAAATACTTATTTCCCCCACTGTAAATTAGGTTGGATGATAGGAAATGTTATAGAATGATTAACTGAAAGAAAATAATAGAATAGGGTATTGTATAGACCTACAAACAACTTTAGCTGTATCCTAGTTAGGCAACGTAAATTAATCACCAAGGCGATGGACCTCAATCATGAAAGTAGACAGGCGTAATTGAGGTCCACAAGGCTGTGCGTAAAGCGAGTGCCTCATGGTAGTTGTAGTTCTGCAGTCAGGTACGCTTCCGTGTAGCCTACGTTAGGTGGAGGAATCTGCTCCGCAAAGACAAACACATGTGAAATTATTGATCAGGTAGGGCAAACAGTTTATGCTGCTAATTGTTGAGTGTGGGACTCGTTTAGCACCTTATACATAATAATTAAGTGATTTGTCCAATATTTATTGCATGTGGTTTTTCTAACAGCTGTGGATACGGAAAAAAACAGCGCTTACATGGCGAAGCATTTCCTTTTGTTCGGCTAGCTTATGTGTAGAAATGCAGAAGACAGTTCGCCTGAAATGTTTCTGATTTTACTGTAAACAGACTGAGGGGCTTTATGAACGAAAACTACCCATCGTGTTATTAAAGAAAAAAAATCATAAAGTGCCTTTGTATATTTCGACGACAGTCGGTACGCTAACATTTTTCAGCTTTCTTCGATTAAGTTAGACATTTATTAGCCATATAGTTAGCTGTATATGTATATGTTACATGTAGTGGTGCTAGCACCGAGCTAACTTAGTTAGCATTGTCGCTTGTCACAACAAGCTTGTTGTTTACATCCGGAAATTGCGGGTTTGTTGGCTAGTTTGCATAGCTTTGGTCAATGTAGCTGAGGGCAGCATATGTATTGAGTAACGAACTGCTCTGTGGTTGAAGTACTTGGTATTCAGTTTTAGGTGACATAGTAATCTTGCTCTGTGCGAACTAACAGACTTGTCTTGTTTCTTTCAGGGTTTTGTGAATTTATGGAAACATGTCAAAGAAACGTGGCAGGTGGGCCAAACCAACGTTAACTAAACTAATATTTGTCTCATTTATACAAAAAATATTCCAGAATTACTTTTAAAAAATCTAATTATTAGTAGCCAGGCCAAACTATATTGCACTTGTTATAAAATAAATATACAGTATTTCTATGTTTGTAAATAGCTTAATGATTTTGCTTTATGCTTTTGTGATTAGAAGTTCTTGTAGAATCACACATAGTGTCTATTCAACAGAGAAGTTAGCCTAAAACTAACTTGACACCACACTTACATTGTGGTATCCTCTCAAAGTGGCAGCAAATGAATAGGAAACATGATAACAGAGGGGGGAAATGGAAGCTAGAAAATACATTTTATTTGCTAAACTGACAAGTGGGTTGTCAAACATAGGCAAGCACACAGATTATGTGTGCCAGAGGTGGTGCAAAAACATCTAGCCTTTAATTGATTCTCGCCAAATAAAAACAAAAAACATTGGTATATGTATGTGGTTTTTCCAGCCCTCCCGCCTCTTTTTTAAACAGTTATGACACATTTAGAAGCATTCAAGCAAGGCATGGTCACTGAAAAAAAAAGAGTCGAATTAATCAAATGTGGTTATTTAGACGGAAGTGCATACATGCCCTGAAGTGGTTTGAAGTGCTCATGTCTTTTCTGGGCATTTCTTTAAGAACTTCTGTGGTTTGGATGATTCAATGAAAGCAATGGAGCAGTGGATAGAGTAGATGTCTGTTTAAAAAAAAAGAACAAAAAGATTGTTATACTTGTATGATTTTTCTAATAGAATGGATTGAATGTGATTGATATGACAGGAAGCGTAGCAGCGGAGAGCTGAGTGAAAGCTCAGCGTCGACCCTGAGCCCAGACCCTGACAATCTCTTGGGCCGCAGGATTCAGCACACGTGGAGGGAGAAGGGTAATGTAACCAAGTGGAAAGGAACCGTTCTGGAGCGCCTCACTGTGAACAGCTCCCTCTTTATGGTCAAATATGACGGCTTTGATTGTGTCTATGGAATCGAGCTCTTTAAAGACAACCGGGTGTCCAACCTGCAGATTTTATCAGAGAAAGTTGGTGAGTGTGACAACTTAAGATCGTATAACTGTAACTTCTTGGAATGATATAAATGTAATTTTGGACACACAAAAAAAAAACCCAGACATTTCTGCATCAAGTTACCCTGCTTTACACTTTGTCATTACAAACATTTTTGTCCCTGTTTTTACTTTAAATTCCCCATGAACTGAACTTTGCTTTTTTCATTTATTTTTATTTTCTCTTTTTGCTGATTCTGACTGACCTAAGAAAGAAATGACTGCCTTTTCGCCTGACGAACAAACTTTCATGCAAGAAAATCTAATGTTAACTTACTGAAAAATCACATTAAACTAAATTAGATAATAACATTATATACATTATTTTACAACAGTTTTTTAAGGCCTTAATAAGAAATGATGAAGACATGATTTTTTATTCTTATTAAAAAATAAACTTTTTTGTATGCTGATTACAAACAGAGCTTGGCTTTTGAATATACTTATTATGTCTTCTGATGTGTTTGAGGATGATTTAAGCAATCTGCATGCTGAATAGATCACACTGGCTCATCAGGTGTCTTCTCTGTCCTGCAGTGAATAATAAGATCAAGGTGCCCCCCGGGGCTGAGGAGCTGGTGGGTCGGGCAGTGGAGCATCTGTTTGAGAAGGAGGACGGGGAGAAAAACGAGTGGCGGGGCATGGTTCTGTCGCGAGCCCCCATCATGACCCACTGGTACTACATCACCTATGAGAAGGACCCGGTCCTGTATATGTACCAGCTGTGGGACGACTACAAGGATGGAGACCTGCGTGTCCTGCCTGAGTCAGGTACGGTCATGAGAGCTTTAAATCCAATAAGCAGAAAACGGCCAATGTTTTTATATTTCAGATGCTCCCAGGGAAGTGGGAGGGTGAGAACAGGACAAATTTACATAGTCAGCCAAGCAAACCACACCAGTCCTTTGCTCCTCTTATCCTGAACATTTTGTCCAGATTTTCTGCTTGGATTAGCAGTCGGGGAATATATTATTTTCTGGCACATGTGGCCAATCACAAAGAGGCAATGTTGTCTCGGAGGAATCGGTAACGAGCAAAGCGAAGGTATGAACGCATCCAAGCGTATATGGACGTGGTTACAGTTCACCTTAAAATGGCTCATGTGAAATGTATGAAAGCTGTTGCAAACGTTAAGGTAAAGCTGCTTAAAAACGGCGTATTTCAGTCACGCCGATCTTACCCCGTTATTTGTTTTCTTTCCATCATCCAGAGAACAAACACCTGCTGCCCGCGGACAGGAAGCCAGGTGAGGAGCCTGAGAGTCTTGTGGGCAAACAGGTGGAGTATGTCACAGACAACGGCTTGAAGAGGACGGGGCTAGTCATCTACCAGGTCCCTGCAAAGCCCACTGTATACTACATAAAATACGACGACGATGTCCACATTCATGTCTATGATTTGGTGAAGACCACCTAGAACTGACTGTCCGGTTTGAAACTTCAGCTGATTGGCTGATATTTGCTCCAACCAGTCGTTACCTGTTAGTGTTCAAGATTTCCTCTAGTGGGAGAGAATGTGCCCACTCTCAAGAGCCCCAACTTATTTTATTTTATTGCCTTCAAAGGCCTCTTGTCACATACGCATTACAACACACCTACATAATCTATTTTTCACTTATAAGTCTACCCATTAAATGACCTTTTATTTCATTCAGTGTAAATAATCAGGTCTCGGACCGCAGCCCAGCAGATGTGATGTACTTACTTTGCTTTGGTTATATCACAGCTGTTTAGTACAACACTCAAACTCCAAATTCACACTTCTTTTATTTTTTTTCAAAGACATCATCAAACTAGCAGAATTCCGTTTTTCTTGCCTATACATCTTTTGTTTTTTCTCAGATTTCCTTTCAGTTATTTATTTAATCGGGAGTATGTGTGTGTGTGTGCTGCTGGTAACAAAAGAAGAACTTCTCTGCTGTGCTCTACGTCTGTCTCTGGGAAAGCCTTTGGTTCGTTGGATATAGAAGTGATGTTCATTTGACTCTTGTGCTGATTTTTCCCCATCACCGTGAACTCAGTTTCTGTTGAAGTGTTAAAAGGCATTCATGAGACCACGTCTCACATTGTGGATACTGAAAAAAATACAGAGAAATCATCTTAAAGAATCTTGTATCGTATCTTTGTTCCGTTCCATCGCGTAGGCCGTAACTTTTCTACATTACGATAAAGTTTGAGAAATGGTCTGGTGTTCACATCAAGTTGTTTCAAACTGTGTTTGTGCTACGCACCATTTATGTAATGAAATCAGCTAATGATATTGTATAGTACTTTGAATTGATGTCTTTATTATTTGCCAAAAAGATGATGAATGAAATATTGTCAATTGTGACCCTAAATATGTTTTTTCTTTCTGTAAATATGAGACATTTTTATGAACATAAAAACAAAGCTGCTTGAAAGCTGTTTTCTTCTCTTTGTGTGTTTCATTCTAATTGCCAAAACGCTCTCTGATAAAACACGCCGATCAGGAGCTGTTGTCTGAAAAGGTGTTAGATGTGCCTGTTTTATACTCTTCCAGTCTCTGGTTTCATGTCTTCAGCTGAGTGATGTCGAAGTAGATCAAAGCATAACGGGAGAGTTTCAGCATGTTCATTACTAATGCAGATCAGATGTGTGTATCGACTAACACAAGTTGACACGAGACAGCTGTCCTTGACATTTGGAAGTCACAGAATACTTAAATACAACGAATAACCTCAGAAACTATACACGTTTAATCGGATATGTTGCTTCAATTCAGAGCTTATTGAAAAACGGCCTTTTTGATTTTCCCTATGCCTGGGTAAAATAGTTTCTATTCTTTTGTAAGGCATCAATTTTAGGATGTTACTAAATGTTGCCTCCAACAGCCCAGAATATGTTTTGGTTTAATACAAAAAAGTGAAAAGAAAAAATGTTTTAACTTTGATGATTGAGAAGAAATATCTCACAGATCTTTAACCTCCAACACTGAAGCTTAAGGTGACTGAGTGCGAAAACATAGACTTGGTGGAACAAACTAATTAACCTGCTGAGGCAAGAACTTGCAAAGACTGATTGTTATATTTACACATATACACACATACATACATACCTTCTTTTTCTCATTATGTTTCTGTGGATGATGTGCAATGTGTCAAGGCAAAATCCACGTGAATGTATACCTCTTACACTTGTTGGAAGGAATTTGCCTTCTTTATTTCCATCTGCCACGTTCTGTACAGACAGCTACTGTGGTGTACAGAGGAAGTCAGGATTTATTTAATCATGTGGTCTTTTTGCTCTGTGATGGACCATTGACATGACCAGGGTATAAACTGCCTCATTAAGAGCAGCTTTATATTTTGAATCTTGAAAGCAATACCTACATTTCCGTATACACTGAACAAACTAAATCCCTCTCACACTATAACTGTTTGATGTAGACCAAGTAGATTGTCCCAACAGCTGAAGCTATTCATCTTCCTGTTTGCTTCCAGTACGTCTGAAAAATGGATCACATGAATAGTCATGACTTTTTGATATCTGTGAATAAATTCATATATATTGTGTTTATCGCCACAGTCTAATATTAGACTTGACCCTCCTCTAAATTTTATTATTTGATCCCGCGCACAGTCAGCCATTAAGTGAAGCTGCTGTTTGATGTTGGCGTTACTCTCTGACTGGTGATCAAATGTCAGCTTTAATGTCGACATGTTTTCACCTGATTCCTGATCTTTCTGATCACACATGTAGCCGCATGCTGACTGCTGACTGTCTCTCCCACCCCCGGAGTCTCTCCAAGGTGCCGGGGATGAGGTGACGGGTGCCAGTACAGACATCAGGGAACATTTGGCATACCATCACGCCAGGCTGGGTGCCCAGATAGTAATAACAACGAGAGGAGAGCGCATGCATTACATGAGCTCCGCAGCCTTGAGACCGTGTGTGATGAAATTTTGACACTTGTTGTCCACTTTCTTTTACGCATCCCTCGCTATTTTCGATCTTTTCCTTTCTTCATTTAACCATCTGCCTGAGCTTTGGGCAACAGCTTGTATTGTTCAGATACAGAAAAAACCCAGAGTGGAATATCTTTGACTTGCTGGCTCTTTTCTAAAATGAAAGCTTAGTAAGCAGGATAAAGAGATGGCCATATGTAGCTGTTATGTGTCAGTCTGCTCCTCCCAAGTGGATAGCAAATGTTTTGGGGATCCATGAGACTCAAGATAAAAAGAGCTTTGAAAGAGCAAACGTGTCTTATTCGTTGGATTTTATGGATTCTCCAGATACTTCAATATTTCGTATGTATAGTAATACATATAGAATCCTTTTGACTAACAAATAAAAAATTGTAAAGTAAAGTGAAAGGTTAGCAATACGCAGTATTTAAATGTTATATGCTGGGATAAATACCAAGAGGTAATATTATTGTATTTTAAGTGTGAGAGCTAGAATTATTAATGCAAAGCCTTTTACATTGTCATTATCACTGAACTTGGACAAGAAATTGTTGCTGCTCAACAATCTGTGGGAGATACTGAAGCCTTTTTCGAACTCCTGCTCATGGCAATAACTATCAATCTTCCAAGAAGTGAGTTCTCCTCTTCTTTGTCATGTTATCATTATTAGAGGACCTTCCTCAAAAACCTTGAAACTTTGTCTGCATTCTTATTGGCCAATAAACAAATGCACTTGACTCTTTTGTGTTGCCTAGCAACACAACCCAGTCCCTGGTTTTTATATATGAAAAACCAGAATGCTGCCAATCTTGAGACTTACAGGGTGCAGTGTGAAATAGATGCAGCCACGAATCATTTCTAATTACAAATCCGGCGTCAGTGTTCAGAATGGTCAGAAAGAGCAAGCAGTGGTCAGCATTACCAAGACCCCTAATTTTGCCCCCGGTGTATAAAAATGTAGTGTTTAATGGTCACATTTATTAAAGATGCTGTTTTTTATGAGATATGCGGACTTGAAATAAAATAAACCTTATTTTTCTGCGATAAGTCCAAGCAAATGACCTTTGCCATTAAGTCAGGCTTGGCATAGCAACAATGTGGTCAGATTCTGTTGGGTAAGTCATGCAAGGTACCGTGGTAACAAGAACAAAGGTAAGCGATGTGTGTGGGGGGTATTTTTTCAAATTCATTTGTGCACAATCAAACCACTGTATATGTTACAATTTCTCGCAACTAGATTTTTTTGTGTTCCTTTTCCTCAGCCTTTCCCTTAGTGGTGACTGTATTTTAAAAAGATACATGATGTATTTTACCTGGTCTCTTATAATATTTCCTGAATGTAACTATTATATTTTTGTAATTAGATAAGACCTCAGACAACCAGATGTGCAGCACAGCAGCCGGCAGGTGTCATGTCTCCTTGGGGGTGAGATATAATTTGCTCACTTATCATTATTAGGAAAAGCTACGAAAAGCTCAAACTCATATGTGTTTCTACTGTTTCTACTGACCTGCCTGTGTAAAACATTAAGAAAGAGATCAATTTCGGACTCATTCCATAACTATCTGTGAATCTGAATGGTCCATTTTTTTTACTATAAAATGTGATCGTCGATAATGTTAGATTCTTGAGATCTCTTTGACACTTTTAAGTATTTTTCGTTGCTCATGGCTTGTCCAAGTGGTTGCACCACTGTTCCTGAAATTTTGAGCACAGTGGCCTCTCAGGTCTAATTGAAGTGACTCGAGCAGTGCATGGAGCTCATAGTGGCATTAAGAGCCTCCTTATTGATCCGAGATTTTTAGTCTGCCCCCTGAATGTTTGATCAATAAAACTTTAAGATGACACGTTGGCATGCCATAGAAAATGAGAGTAGGATTTTTTTATGTGGGATCTCCTCGGACAATAAATGCTCAGCTCTGCTGTATTAGAGAGAAACATGCAGAAATACACATAAAAGGTTTCCATTTTATTTTTTATTTTACAACAAACAACGGCATCAACTAAAATACAGACTGACTCATGATTATTAAAAATATTGAAGAACAGTATTCAGTACCCCTGGAAAGGTGTTAAACCTGGACAGTGATGGAAAACAACAGTACTAACCTATTTGAGTCGCTTTTGCACAAGGCACTTTATGACATAATTACAGTATTTCCCTGAACAGCTTTTACAGCGCAATTCAGCACCATGCCTAAATTATGCTTTTGATTGCAATTTTGCTAGTAATTAACATTGCTGAACACTCATTTACACAGGGACTGAATCAGAACATCATAAGTGGCTTTTTAAAGGGCAAGTTTCATATTGTTGCCTCTGAATAAACAGGAAACCTGGTCATTAACGCCAGCGTCGTTGAGCCGTGCAGCTTAAAGCCGGTGGGTACTGCAGGGCACTGCTTGTGCTGAGAGGTAGACTGGGACTTGTTGTTCTTTGATCAGCGTCACAACAAAATCACTAGTCTTCCACTCAGCACAACCAATACTTTCCCCTCATCTCCGGTCGCTTCCACATCCTGTGCTTCGATGTGAGATAAAAGAAAGAAGAAACAGGATTGTCAAATTTAAGTCTGGATCTTCCCTCCTTCGTGCCACACCACAACACAATGTATTGATTGTACACCGGTGCCAATGAGAACTTCAGGGTTATAGATGACTGCTGAAGGGAAGGAACTGGTGTGTTGATAGGTTGTGAACTCTTGTTGGGGATGGAAACAGCACATGCAATCTCCATCTCTCTGTTTCCATCAACCCATTTTTTCTCTGAAGCCTGTTGACATTCCATCCTTCCTTTGTTGTTGTAATGCCAACCTTTCAGCTCCCCCTCAAAAGAGGGAGACAGGAGGAGTGGTTGGCTGGTTGAGGGGGGGGGGGGCACAGAGAAACAGACACAGAGGATCACAGCACAGCACTTACGATATATACGCCGCTTGACACGTGCAGTGAACAGAAACCCAAAACTGGGTACAATTGGAAAAAATCACGTGGGAATTGAAAAGTGAACCATTAGCTCATCAGGCCAATTGTTTTCCATCTGTTGAATCACATTTGAACAAGAACAGAGGGGAAAGGAGAAAAAAAAGACATACAGATTGTCCTGCATCCCCAGTATGTGTTTGAGCTGGTAGCTATGCAACAAGACTGGGAGTCAGTGGAAGAGGGGGGATGGTAAGAGGGGAACAGTTTAGTGAGGGGAAGGAAGCAGAGAAGGGGTGTAGGGGGGGTGGTGGATATATTTTAGTGCCAACTAGAGAAAAGACCTTATTTATACCAAGAAGAGACCCAGGAAAACAGGATCAATAATTATTCACTAATCATCGAGTGGATTTAAAAGCAAATTAATCTACTTCCTTCTGGTGTCTGACATTAAAAGCGTATTGAAGCTAATAATTGTCCACGTAGTGTCCACTCAACTGCATGTGGAACATGAAGCTGTGCTTATATTCAACAGATGCGTCTGCAGGATC